AGAGGGCTCCTTGCGTTGCCCTTGCCTTCAGGCACCACCCCCCGCAGCTCCAGCAGCAGCGCGGCTTGGGGCCAGGGCAGGTATGTAGGGAACCTGCCCTGGCCCCAGTGCACGCCGCTGCCACCCTGGAAGCTGCTTTAGGTAAGCGGCACCGGGCCGGAGCCCGAACCCCTTCTGCACCCCGCCCCTCAACTCCCTGCCCTAAGCCCCCTGACTGCACCTCACACCCCAACTCTCTGCTTGAGCCCCCTGCTGAACCCTGTACCCAACTCCCTGCCCTGAGCCCGATTGTACCCCACACCCCTCCTGCACCCCTTCCCTGAGCCCCCTCCTGCACTCCGCACCCCTCCTGCACCCCAACCCCCTTCCCTGAGCCCCCTCATATACCCCGCACCCCTCCCCTGTCCCAATCCCTTGCCCTGAGCCCGTTCCTGTTCACTGCACCCCCTCCCACACCCTACACTCCCTCATGCACCCCAACCCCTTGCCCCGGCCCTGCATACAATTTCCCCACCCAGATGTGGCCCTCAGCCCAAAAAGTTTGCCCACCCCTGTTCTAATGCCTAAATACCTTTAAAAATCTGGGCCTTAGGGTCTTAAGTCCCTTAGATGGTTTTGAAAATTCCGTCCTTAGCAAAGGCTGTTTTATATACAATACAAAGCAATTTGTCCGACACATCAAACTAGTAGTTGCATGAACAGTGGAAAATGGTTTTGTTTTTACATGCTTATCAAGTGCTAAGGTACTGCTCCCCTTCTACTAGGTCTCCTGTTTTTACTGAGCCTAACCACAGTCTGGCACTCAACCTCTTTATAAATGTGGGCTGGAGAAAACAAAAAAGGACAGTACAGTATGTGAAGCCATATGAAAAAAGTAGATGATACAAAAGGCAACTTAAAAGATCATTCTACTTTCTTTATTTCTTATTGTTCTACACATGACATATATTACAGTTCTCCTGCTTTATAGGACATTGCATGCAAAGTCAAAGTGATATGTGATGTATTGTCACTAGCTGATACATTTAACTTGGAACTGGTGACTTCTAGCATTTGCATGAGTTTAAGTGCAGCACAAAATTTCTCATTCATGACAAAAGGTCACACGCTCCAAGGCAAAGTCCTTTAAATAAAAAATAATGTACAAGGATCAAACATTTACATTGGGAGGGATCTTTAGCAGGTTCTCACCTTAGTAGTTTAGTCAGAGATGTGACAATCAGTATGTCGGAAAACTAAACAATTTCCCTACAATATGGACTCTTTATCAACATGGGAATCATATTCAATGTACACAAAAGCCAAGTAATATCCCCACCTTGTAAGTGCACAGATACGGAGCCATTGAGTACGTGGGTGCATAAGGGAATCCATGACTGCACATCATGGCAATGTCCACAGACTGGACTTCTTGTCATCAAATATGCTCCTTTGTTTCAGGCAGGATTTTAATTCTAGCTGGGTTGTTTTGATGTTGTGGTTATGTTCCAGTGTAAACTTGGTTTCCTATAACAACATGAGGGGTGAGGGAAAGAAAGAGGTGTAATAATAAATACTATAATTATAGCACTTACATAAGTGCTTCTGAGTTTTGAAAATATTTTACAAACACTGGGCCCAGTCCTGCATGGTACTGAACATGCTTAGTTTCTGTTAACTTTAACAGAGCATATGGGGCTCATTCTCCACAGTCAGTCCCTCTGCTTTTACATGGACAGGACACTAACGGTGTCTCTCTCCTGAGGAGGAAGGCATAGAAGAAGAGACTTGCCACTACTGTAGCATCATTCTTCTGCCTTCATAGAACGATATGGAAGGCATACTGCATGGAGTTCCATGGAGATGGGGCTCTGCAAAGTTTGTGGGTAGGTTTGGGAATAGGAGGAGCCATTCTCTGCAGAATTTCCCCCTCCCTAGGCACAGGGGTGGGGGCTGTCCAGAGGAGCTAGTGGGGGCGGCGGTGATAGTATATAGCACCATCAGGAAACAGCAGCCTCTTTGTGGGAGTGGGACTTCCCTTCCTCATTGTTTCCAATACCAGAAGGACTGGAAAGTCACTCTACCTGTTTCCTCTGTGCAGACTCCTCAACACCTCTATGCAAGAAACATCACAAGTTTCACAGACCCTTGCACAAAACTAGTCCTCAACAGTGCTATGAGGTAGATAAGTATTATTATTGAAAGCAGTAGCAATTACTACTCGTACAGTGGTAATAATTAGTAGTAAAAGTGAAATCTAGCAGATTTCTTCTGACTGATTGCCAAGGTTAACAACATTGTTAACAGTGAAGGTTTCAAAACTGGAAGTTGCTCTTGTAACATCTATTCTGCCATGCAAAGAAAGAAAAATGATGAAGTCCATATATTCTGCCATGCAAAGAAAGAAAGGCAGAATGCTGAGACTGGGCTCTGTTGTGTTTTCAGTTGACAAAGGGGAATGTACAGTTTTGGAGACCTCCTCCTGTTTTGACTCATGGTTGAGAATATCTTGAATGGTCCCTTGAAATATGTTAACTCCTTATGCTAAACAATCTGTTCTACCTTGTGTTTAGCAGTGACACTGGGTACATTTTCCAGACCTGAAGAAGAGCTCTGTGTAAGCTCAGAAACTTGGCTTTCTGACCAACAGAAGTTGGTCCAATAAAAGATATTACCTCACCCACATTGTCTCTCTAGTGTCCTGGGACCAACACAGCTACAACTATGTTGCATACAACTAGATCATGTGTTCTTTTCAGCCAAAGGGAAATCCAAGAATAAGTCCCTTCTCTTCAGAGCTACAGGATCTGAGTAAGCTAAGAGGGCTTTGGATTTATTTTTGTTTTGGTAATTGAAGTGCATGATGTAATTTTTAAAAATATAAAATGCATTAGTCTGAATTTGAAAGAATTGAGAAGCTATTGTAATGAGTAATATAGAAATGCCTACACATTAATATTAAAATCTAATTCAAGTACAATTATATTAAAATATAATTTTCAGTGCCTCCCTGAGACGTATGGAAGGTTAAGGTGCTGGACTGAGATAAAAGAGATCTGGGGTCAGTTCTCAGCTCTGCCAGAGACCTCTTGGGTGAATTTGATCAAGTCACTTAGGGCCCAATTCTATGAATACTTGCCCATGGGAGTAGCCTTGCTCATACTCTGTGCCTCAGTTCCTTGTCTGTCAGATGGGGATAACAGTACTTCCTTTTACCCACACTTTGTCTCTCTTGTCTGTTTAGACTCTAAATACCTTGGGAACTGACTCTTACTATGTATATGTACAGCACTCAGCACAACGGGGACCCCATTTTGGTTGGGGGTCTCTTGGTCCATTAGTTATACAAAATAAATAGCTGAATTTTCTCTGAGACCCTTCAACTGTCCAACTTTGTAAAACTTTCAGCAAAGGGACTCTGCTCTCCAGTCTCATGATCAATATATTGGTCTGTGCCTGGACATGCAGAAGTGTTGAAAGAGAGAGTGCAAGGTGTCCCCCGGTTTCCTTGTGCTAATGTGCTCCCAGCTGGAGTCCCTGTGCTTCCCAAAAAGGGTGGGAGGATGCAGGGCTATAGTTGGCTAAGTGCAGAATAGAGCACATACTATAGAGGTCTTTTAAGCTGCGGTGCAGTGAGCATGCTCCCCCTATGTGCTCGGGAGCTCTGGGAGACATTGTGCTTCCTGGAGTTCCTGCTGCTGCTGCAGTGAGACTCCATGCTGCCTCCATGGCTTAATATCACAATCCAACCCAATGTCTTTTTATTAGCGCTACAAAGGGAAACTGGACTGAAATGTAACATTGCCCAGCATCGCACATACTCTGTACACACCGAACAAGTTCAATGTTTGTCTATACGCAAGAAAGAGCATAAAGAGGTCACCCAATCAGCTACTGACATGCCTGGATCAAGCAAATTCTGCTTCTAATGGATTGAATTTCATCATGAAATGGTAACCTGGTTATCTTTGGCAGAAATTACCCTAATTTAACAGCAGTATTATTTAAGTGGTTACATACAGATCAGAGTGCTGAAAGACCAACCAGGAATTAGAAGGGGGCGGGGGAAAATGAGTGGTATGTGGTACTTTTTCCTGTTTCTAATAGTCTGTAACCATGTCATTTAGTTTAATTACCTGAAGTAATTAAGTGAGGAGAAAGGAAAAATAAGTCATTTAACCAAATACATGAAGGTACCAAGTCCATATGAGGAAAAGGAATCACTATAATAGCAAAGGTGGACTGACAGGGGAGGCCAGAAGGATTCCTATTGTAAGGGGACTGCTGCCCCCTTACTAACATTCAGTGGGGGTGTCTTAGTTGCTAGCTCCCAGTACTAAAAAGGGGGAACAGTCAATGGGGAATCAGGACCCTGAGACTGACAGCCCCCAGGAACAATGGGGAGAGGCCAATGCTCCAGCTCAGCCTGAATGACAGGGTGGGCAGGCTAATCAGGGAGTCAGGAGGCCAGGGAGGTCCCATCCTCCATGTGAGCTGGAATTGACTGGGTCAGACAGAGTGGGGCCGAGCTAAGGAGAAAGCAGGGGCCCGAGCTGAGCTGGGGAGCTATGTTGCAGCCCCAAAGCCAGAGGCACAGCCCAGAGAGAGCAGACTTGCCCTGGGAGCAAAGCTGCAGCAACCAGAGCCAGAGGGGCCAGAAAAGCAGCCCACAAAGCAGGTCAGTGCTGGGAGCAGAGTCACAGAAGCAGCCTGCAGAGCAGACCTGTCCTGGGAGCAGAGCTGTAGCAAGCAGAGGCAGAGGGGCCAAAGAAGCAGCCCAGGGAGCTGGAGGCAGAGCAGCAGCAGCAGCGCTGAGACAGAGTGGTGGAGCTGGGGCTGGAGCAGTCCGGAGCTGGGTGCGGTGAGCAGCTGGGGAGAGCGAGGGGGACCCTGGGCAGCGGGCCCAGCACAGGGAGACAGCTCAGCCAAGATGCTCTGCAGGCCAGGCTTGGATCATAACCCCGACAGGGCAGTGGCAACACTGGGAAGAAGGGTCCTCCCACTTAGAGTCTGAGCCCTGGTCTACACTAGGACTTTAGGTCGAATTTAGCAACGTTAAATCGATGTAAACCTGCACCCGTCCACACAATGAAGCCCTTTATTTCGACTTAAAGGGCTCTTAAAATCGATTTCCTTACTCCACCCCTGACAAGTGGATTAGCGCTTAAATCGACGTTGCCGACTCGAATTTGGGGTACTGTGGACACAATTCGATGGTATTGGCCTCCGGGAGCTATCCCAGAGTGCTCCATTATGACCGCTCTGGACAGCACTCTCAACTCAGATGCACTGGCCAGGTAGACAGGAAAAGAACCGCGAACTTTTGAATCTCATTTCCTGTTTGGCCAGCGTGGCAAGCTGCAGGTGACCATGCAGAGCTCATCAGCACAGGTGACCATGATGGAGTCCCAGAATCGCAAAAGAGCTCCAGCATGGACCGAACGGGAGGTACGGGATCTGATCGCTGTTTGGGGAGAGGAATCCGTGCTATCAGAACTCCGTTCCAGTTTTCGAAATGCCAAAACCTTTGTGAAAATCTCCCAGGGCATGAAGGACAGAGGCCATAACAGGGACCCGAAGCAGTGCCACGTGAAACTGAAGGAGCTGAGGCAAGCCTACCAGAAAACCAGAGAGGCGAACAGCCGCTCTGGGTCAGAGCCCCAAACATGCCGCTTCTATGATGAGCTGCATGCCATTTTAGGGGGTTCAGCCACCACTACCCCAGCCGTGTTGTTTGACTCCTTCAATGGAGATGGAGGCAATATGGAAGCTGGTTTTGGGGACGAAGATGATGATGAGGAGGAGGAGGTTGTAGATAGCTCACAGCAAGCAAGCGGAGAAACCGGTTTTCCTGACAGCCAGGAACTGTTTCTCACCCTAGACCTGGAGCCAGTACCCCCCGAACCCACCCAAGGCTGCCTCCTGGACCCAGCAGGCGGAGAAGGGACCTCTGGTGAGTGTACCTTTTAAAATACTATACATGGTTTAAAAGCAAGCATGTGAAAGGATTACTTTGCCCTGGCATTTGCGGTTCTCCTAGATGTAGTCCTAAAGCCTTTGCAAAAGGTTTCTGGGGAGGGCAGCCTTATTGCGTCCTTCATGGTAGGACGCTTTACCACTCCAGGCCAGTAACACGTACTCGGGAATCATTGTAGAACAAAGCATTGCAGTGTATATTTGCTGGCATTCAAACAACATCCGTTCTTTATCTCTCTGTGTTATCCTCAGGAGAGTGAGACCTAATTCATGGTCACCTGGTTGAAATAGAGTGGTTTTCTTCAGGGGACACTCAGAGGAGCCCATTCCTGCTGGGCTGTTTGCCTGTGGCTAAACAGAAATGTTCCCCGCTGTTAGCCACAGGGAGGGGGGAAGGTTGAGGGGGTAGTCACGCGGTGGGAGGAGGCAAAATGCGACCTTGTAACGAAAGCACATGTGCTATGTATGTAATGTTAACAGCAAGGTTTACCCTGAAAGAGTGTAGCCACTGTTTTATAAAATGTGTCTTTTTAAATACCGCTGTCCCTTTTTTTTTCTCCACCAGCTGCATGTGTTTCAATGATCACAGGATCTTCTCCTTCCCAGAGGCTAGTGAAGCCTAGAAAGAAAAAAAAAACGCACTCGCGATGAAATGTTCTCCGAGCTCATGCTGTCCTCCCACACTGACAGAGCACAGACGAATGCGTGGAGGCAAATAATGTCAGAGTGCAGGAAAGCACAAAATGACCGGGACGAGAGGTGGCGGGCTGAAGAGAGTAAGTGGCAGGCTGAAGACAGGGCTGAAGCTCAAATGTGGTGGCAGCGTGATGAGAGGAGGCAGGATTCAATGCTGAGGCTGCAGCAGGACCAAACCAGTATGCTCCAGTGTATGGTTGAGCTGCAGCAAAGGCAGCTGGAGCACAGACTGCCACTGCAGCCCCTCTGTAACCAACCGCCCTCCTCCCCAAGTTCCATAGCCTCCACACCCAGACGCCCAAGAACGCGGTGGGGGGGCCTCCGGCCAACCAGCCACTCCACCGCAGAGGATTGCCCAAAAAAAAGAAGGCTGTCATTCAATAAATTTTAAAGTTGTAAACTTTTAAAGTGCTGTGCTTAAAGTGCTGTGTGGCATTTTCCTTCCCTCCTCCACCACCCCTCCTGGGCTACCTTGGTAGTCATCCCCCTATTTGTGTGATGAATGAATAAAGAATGCATGAATGTGAAGCAACAATGACTTTATTGCCTCTGCAAGCGGTGATCGAAGGGAGGAGGGGAAGGTGGTTAGCTTACAGGGAAGTAGAGTGAACCAAGGGGCGGGGGGTTTCATCAAAGAGAAACAAACAGAGCTTTCACACCGTAGCCTGGCCAGTCATGAAACTGGTTTTCAAAGCTTCTCTGATGCGTACCGCGCCCTCCTGTGCTCTTCTAACCGCCCTGGTGTCTGGCTGCGCGTAACCAGCAGCCAGGCGATTTGCCTCAACCTCCCACCCCGCCATAAACGTCTCCCCCTTACTCTCACAGATACTGTGGAGCACACAGCAAGCAGTAATAACAGTGGTTTCGCTGAGGTCTAAGCGAGTCAGTAAACTGCGCCAGCGCGCCTTTAAATGTCCAAATGCACATTCTACCACCATTCTGCACTTGCTCAGCCTGTAGTTGAACAGCTCCTGACTACTGTCCAGGCTGCCTGTGTACGGCTTCATGAGCCATGGCATTAAGGGGTAGGCTGGGTCCCCAACGATACATATAGGCATTTCAACATCCCCAACAGTTATTTTCTGGTCTGGGAATAAAGTCCCTTCCTGCAGCTTTTGAAACAGACCAGAGTTCCTGAAGATGCAAGCATCATGCACCTTTCCCGGCCATCCCACGTTGATGTTGGTGAAACGTCCCTTGTGATCCACCAGAGCTTGCAGCACTATCGAAAAGTACCCCTTGCGGTTTATGTACTCGGTGGCTTGGTGCTCCGGTGCCAAGATAGGGATATGGGTTCTGTCTATAGCCCCACCACAGTTAAGGAATCCCATTGCAGCATAGCCATCCACTATGACCTGCACATTTCCCAGGGTCACTACCCTTGATATCAGCAGATCTTTGATTGCGTGGGCTACTTGCATCACAGCAGCCCCCACAGTAGATTTGCCCACTCCAAATTGATTCCCAACTGACCGGTAGCTGTCTGGCGTTGCAAGCTTCCACAGAGCTATCGCCACTCGCTTCTCAACTGTGAGGGCTGCTCTCATCTTGGTATTCATGCGCCTCAGGGCAGGGGAAAGCAAGTCACAAAGTTCCATGAAAGTGCCCTTACGCATGCGAAAGTTTCGCAGCCACTGGGAATCGTCCCAGACCTGCAACACTATGCGGTCCCACCAGTCTGTGCTTGTTTCCCGAGCCCAGAATCGGCGTTCCACAGCATGAACCTGCCCCATTAGCACCATGATGCATGCATTGGCAGGGCCCATGCTTTCAGAGAAATCTGTGTCCATGTCCTGATCACTCACGTGACCGCGCTGACGTCGCCTCCTCGCCCGGTATCGCTTTGCCAGGTTCTGGTGCTGCATATACTGCTGGATAATGCGTGTGGTGTTTAATGTGCTCCTAATTGCCAAAGTGAGCTGAGCGGCCTCCATGCTTGCCTTGGTATGGCGTCCGCACAGAAAAAAGGCGCGGAACGATTGTCTGCCGTTGCTCTGACGGAGGGAGGGGCGACTGACGACACGGCTTACAGGGTTGGCTTCAGGGAGCTAAAATCAACAAAGGGGGTGCCTGTACATCAAGGAGTATTTCAGGCAGGACTTCACGGAGGGTTCCAATAAGAAATGGTGCACCTAAGTTATCGTTCTTATTGGAACAAGGAGGTTAGCCTGGCCTCTGATTGATACATGGCTAGATTTACCTCACTGCACCTTCTCTGTGAGTGACTACAGTGTGACCTAGAGGAATGAGTCCCCTAGACAGGGGAGGAGGCAAATGAGTACAAAACAAATCTGGTCTATTTCTTGTTTTGACCCACTCCATCTATCTTTTACATCTTTGGCTGGCAGCAGACGGTGCAGAAGGACTGCATGCCATCCACATCTCATGGCTGCTCGGCAGAAGATGGTACAGTACGACTGCTAGCCATCCTCATCTCTTGCCTGCCTGGCAGAAGATGGTACAATACGACTGCTAGCAATCCTCATCTCTTGCCTGCCTGGCAGAAGATGGTACAGTACGACTGCTAGCAGTCCGTATCGCCTGCCTGCTCACCATAAGACGGTTCAATAGGACTGACTGCAGGACTAAAGAGAATGACCTGGTCAAGTCACTCCAAATTTAGTCCCTGCGCCCATGTCTGCCCAGGCGCTCCCAGCCGACGTGGCCAGGAGCACCTCGGACACGACGAGGACGACTACCAGTCGTATTGCACCGTCTGCTGCCAGAAGGCAATGGGTTGCTGCTACTGTGCAGCAAAGCCGTACCGCGTCTGCCAGCACCCAGGAGACATAGGGTGACGGTTACCTGAGCGGGCTCCATGCTTGCCGTGGTATGGCGTCTGCACAGGTAACTCAGGAAAAAAGGCACGAAATGATTGTCTGCCCTTGCTTTCACGGAGGGAGGGAGGGAACGGGGGCCTGACGATACGTACCCAGAACCACCCGCGACAATATTTTAGCCCCATCAGGCATTGGGATCTCAACCCAGAATTCCAGTGGGCAGCGGAGACTGCGGGAACTGTGGGATAGCTACCCACAGTGCAACGCTCCGGAAGTCGACTCTAGCCTCGGTACTATGGAAGCGCTCCGCCGAGTTAATGCACTTAATGCACTTAGAGCATTTTCTGTGGGGACACACACACTCGAATATATAAAACCGATTTCTAAAAAAACAACTTCTATAAATTCGACCTTATTCCGTAGTGTAGACATACCCTGAGAGCGTGAGACCACCACCAGAGCAAGTATCTAATCTACAGCATCCCTACAGCAAAGCCAGGGCCTGAGAAGAAGGCCTGGGACTTACAAGGATCAGACTGTGAACTGCCCTGACATTCCAGAGACACTGTTTGTGATGTTCCCTGCCACAGAGTGGGTTGATGTGTTTCCTTTAACCTTTCCCATTTTTCCTTATTTTTTTAGAAATTAATTGTTGATTAAATAACTTGCATTTGCTTTAACTTGTATGTAATGGTCAGTGGGTCAGAGAAGTGCCCAGTGCAGAGAGAGTACCCCGGAGTGGGGACACCCTACCCCCTGTCTTAGGTGACCACAGTAGGGTTGGGGGTCGAGCCCCCCAGAAATCCTGGGCCCAGTCTTGTTGGGGTTACAAGGACTCCCCCAGACAGGAGAGTGGAAGGAGAGTCCTCAAGGGCAGGGAGGCCACTGGGTAAAGGAAGTAGGAGCGAGGACTCAGATCCTTTTGCTAGCCCACTTCACCAGGGTAGTGCAGAAGCCAGGAAAGTTCTCCACAATAGCGGGACTATTCCCCCGCTTACACTATGATGAACATAAGGGAAGAGACAAAGAAAGCTGAGATGGTGAGACAAATATGGAAATAATTATGACAGTTGTCAGTTCAGATGCCAAATATATAGAGGCAATCTCAGCTCATTTGATCATAACAAAACAAATAAAAATCCCATTAATATAGATCATTAATTTTTGCTCTGTTATGGCAGTCATTGGATCCGTCTGGCAACAGGGCAAGTTTAAATATCCTTTCTGCTTTTCCTTTTTCTTAAGAGGTTAGTGATCTTTTTCCACAAGGTGGCAGAAAGACCACACAATCAACCAATAATGGTTACAATCAACCTCTGACTGTCCCTGGAATAGTTATGTTAAAAATAGAAACTAGCCGTGTATTTAAACTTTAGAAATAAAATCTTCAAACAGTTAATTCAATGTTAATTGACAAGTGCTGTCTAGCCCAGTGATTTAACAAAGTTTGAAGGGGAAAAAGATCACAAACAGCATGAGATTAAACTACTTAGTCATTTGGTGCTTAGTCACAGTCTTCTTCCATTTGCAGTATTCAAATGTATTCTTTTGCATAAATACAGACCAGTAATACCTTGATTATTTGAAGGGAAACAGGAGTATGAAAGGAACTTGGGCATGGAAGGACATCAAAGTTTAATGTAAATAAAATAGGTCTGAGGGGCCATAACCTCACTTTGGATAAGATGAGTTTTTCAGATAATCAGGCTTTAATAATATATAAAATGAACTATTTTATGGCCACGTTAGACATGTATACATTATATATGAAGTTTACATTCCTTCAGAAATTTTGCTTGGATTGACCATATTTTATCTAGCTACTTCCAACTGTCAACAGATCCCTGAGGGAAGATAGCTCCTGCAAGTTAACTGAGTCTTGGATGGGACCTGCTGTAAACTCTTCCTCCCTACCTACCTATAAATCTGAGACCACTGGGTGCTATTCCATTGTAGTAGCTACTACACCTAACTGCTTGTGAACCCCACATGTAAGTAGTCCTCTTTGCTTTTATAAGGAAAGACTGGTTCAGCCAAGTGTCCATCAGCTCCCGACAAATGCCTCTTTTAGGATCTGAGGGAGGAGTAATTCCCACGTGCTCCCATATGCAGCAAGCCAGAGGCTATGCACCCCGCTCTTGTGCTAATCAGTTTAAGCTGAGGGGACAAAGGCAGCCTATGTAGTGGGTGGAGCAGGACCTTGCCCAGTGACTATGGTAGCAGTTTGGGTAATGACAAGTATAGATCCAGGGATCCACCGGTGAAGCCAGAGTTAGGATCTAGGGGCCAAGCCCAGGGTTAGAACCAGAGTCAGAAGCCAAGCTTAACCTGAAGGGTAGGCTGGAGCTGTAGTCAGGAGTCAGAAGCCAAAGTTGTAGTCAATGATATAGCCAAGAGTGAGAACCAGAACAGAGCAGCTACAGAGGCAGAAGCAGGAATGGGGCTAGGAGCAAGCTGAAGCAGAAATGAGAGCAGGGTAAGCACATCGGCAAGCATGGTATATATTGAGCAGCTACTCCACTGCTGCTGCTGCAAGGCTCAAGTAGCAGACGGCTGGCTCCCCTGCACAATCAGGAAGCATAACCATTTGGAGGGGGGCTTACTGGGCCCAGCTGAGCTTGCTGGGTT